AAACACAGATTGAGCCCAGCTCAATTTCATTACCAAATGGCAAGGATACTCTCCTTTGGACAATATGCATAAATTGAGCCCTAGTTACTTAAAAAGAAAATCCTCAGCTCCATGTTTGAAAACATAACATAGTCCACATCCATATATACATGAATGTGGATAAATACTAAACTATGATGGCATCAGTGAAAAGGAAAACTTTTAACTCAGACTAAGGAATGAAACAATACGAGATTAAGAAACAATGTAATAATTAAAATCAGCAGCAGCAGAACGTAAACTGTGTAAATACTGTACAGCACTGTCAGAGAACAAGGACATTGAACTTCACTTAGGGTAAGACTTCTTCAGCAAGTTCACTGAAATTCCCTGCTACGTGACAGACACTCACTGAGAATGAATGTCTCAAAGGGGGTCATTTCCTCTTCAAAATATATTTTGCTTACAAAAGAAACCAGATCAGCCTATTTCACCACCAGGGCTGTACTCACTGTCAACTGTAAAATATATTTGGTTTGGAATATATAAATATTCAACTATTCTGTAAAATATCTGTACATCATTTCAGGCTTTCTAGTCAAATAAATCTATTCTAGGTCTTCTTTGAATCGTTTTAGAAATAATTAACAGGATCCAAGCTAATTATCATTCAACTGAAACTTTTTCGGTGACGTGATCGATCTCGAAGCGTGGATCTGTAAATGACAGTGCGTGTGCAGGCGATGGGTCCCTGTCACACCAAGGCCATTGCTGCCATCTGCTGAGGGAGAGAGGACGGCACAGGAACGACCAAGTGCCAAAAAAATACTCCCTGTTGGCCATTCCAGGGAGAGATTCCTGCAGAGGCGATGCCAGAAAGCCCAGCTCCTACAAGGTGAAAAACTAAAATCCACGGGTTTTACTTCAACTCCCTTTAGAACAAAACTGAAAGAAGAGCGACGGAGCCGAACTGTTTATTAGAATATACTCAGGAATGCAGGACTGCTGGGAACGCTTCCAGAGTGATGCTGTGATTCCATGGTCAGTGTTAATGCCCGCGGTATATTTGGATGCGTGGAAACTCCTGGTACCGTGTGATCACCCCACACGTGGTCGCATTAAATGCAATCACTGCGTAATTCAGTGTTTAATGCGCAACAACCGCGCTGGCAGAGCCCGATCTAAACGCGCCCCTCCAGCTCAGCCCGTGGCTGCAGCCGAGCGGCGGTCGGGTTCTGCTCCCAGCAACCAGCGACAGGACAACAGGGAATGGTCTGAAGCTGCGCCAGGGGAGGTTCAGGCTGGACATTAGGAAGAAATTCTTCACAGAAGGGGTGTTTAGACATTGGAAGGGAGGTGGTGTGGACACCGTCCCTGGAGGTGTGGAAGGAAAGGCTGGACGTGGCACTCAGTGCCCTGGTCTGGTTGGACCTGTGCCACAGGTTGGACTCGATGATCTCAGAGGTCTTTCCCAACACAAGTGACTCCGTGATTCCTACGATTCTGTGTCTCCCAGCAGCGGGGCCACCCTCACCCAACCCTGTCCCCGCAGGGACGCCAGGCCGGTCCCTCCCCTCCCCTCCCGGTTCTTCCGCCTCAGGAGCGGTTTCTGGCGAGGAAGCCCCGCAGCCCTGAGGGGTGACGGCGACGGGACGGGACGGCCCCGCAACCCCCTCCATGTTCGCCACAGCGTGCACACCCCGGTGCCCAATTCGCGCTTGGCACCGCCCCCTGAGGGAGCTGAGTGGAGAGAGCGTCTGACTGATGTTCGCGAGAGCCAATCAGAGTGCGGCACCGAGAGGCTGCGAGCCAATGGAAGGCAGGGGAGGGGCCTCTGTCCGGAAGCGGCGGCGCTGAGGGAACGCGGCGGGCGGTGAGGGTGAGTGAGGGAAGGTGGGGGCGGGCGGGTCTCCGCGGGCCCCGGATGGGTTCTGTCCCCTCTGCCAGTACCTGGTCACATCTCTTCTCTCCTCAGCACTGGTCTGAAGAGCCCTGCGGCCCAGAGCCCGGCCCAGCCCGGAGCAGGGCAGAGAAGCTTGGCGCGGGCGGGTGTGGGCCCGGCCCAGTTTCTGTCGTGGGTCGCGTGTGAAGAGGGGAAACCACACGAGGAGCGGCTGAGGGCACTTGGTCTGTTCAGCCTGAAGAAGCAGGAGACTAAGGGCAGACCTCACCATGGTCTGCAGCTTCCTGACGAGGGGCAGCACCGATCTGTGCTCTTCGTGACCAGTGACAGGACCCGAGGGAATGGCTGGAGCTGTGTCAGGGCAGGGTTAGGTGCATATTAAGAAAAGGTTCTTCACCCAGAGGGTGGTCGGGCACCGAACAGGCTCCCCAGGGCAGTGGTCACGGCCCCAAACCTGACAGAACTCAAGAAGCATTTGGACAACGCTCTCAGGCACATGGTGGGATTGCTGGGTTGTCCTCTGCATGACCTGGAGTTGGACTTTGATGATCCTCGTGGGTCCCTTCCAACTCAGGATATTCTGTGGGGTTCACAGACTGGGCTCCAGCTAGGGAAGGGGTCTCCCCCTCCCTGTGGCTGCTCAGTTTACAGGCTGGTCTTTCATATTTTGGGAAATGAGTGTTCTGTGTGCTACTGTAGTTGATCCTGCTGTAAGTAAACCTTAGTGAAAAGTAACATGGATTTATCAGTAGTTTCCTGTATTCTGCACATTGGGTTGTCTTTCTTCTGGCTCATTTTCTCAAGGCCACTTCTCTTGCATTGTCTTTGTTTATATTTATCTATTAATCTTGTGACACAAATTGTTAACATATGTTTCTTGTTAACATATGTTTCTTGGAACATTCCCATAGGTATTTTCGTCTGGCAAAAATGGGTGAACCTCAGCAAGTGAGTGCCCTTCCTCCACCTCCAATGCAGTATATAAAAGAATATACTGATGAAAATATCCGTAAGGGCCTGGCTCCAAAGCCACCTCCCCCTGTGAAGGACAGCTACATGATGTTTGGAAATCAGTTTCAGTGTGATGACCTGATCATTCGGCCCTTGGAGAGCCAGGGTATTGAACGGCTGCATCCCATGCAGTTCGATCACAAGAAGGAATTAAGAAAACTTAATATGTCTATCCTGGTCAACTTTTTGGACCTCTTGGATATCTTGATAAGGAGCCCAGGGAGCATAAAGCGAGAGGAGAAACTGGAAGACTTGAAACTGCTTTTTGTCCATGTCCATCACCTTATAAATGAGTATCGCCCTCACCAAGCCAGGGAGACACTGAGGGTCATGATGGAGGTGCAGAAACGTCAGCGCCTGGAGACCGCGGAGCGATTCCAGAAGCACCTGGAGCGGGTTGTGGAGATGATCCAGAACTGCCTGGCTTCCTTGCCTGATGATCTGCCTCATGCAGAGGGAGGACTGAGAGTGAAAGTGGAGCCCATGGATACTGATGATGGCAACAACTGCATCGGACAGAGCGAAAAGCAGAGAGAGCGTTCAGGTGGCAAGAGAGATCAGGTTTTAGACAAGGATGCAGCGATGTGCAGCATTATTGACGAAATGACATGAAGAAAACACCTTGCTTTGTTAATGCACCACAGGGAGAGGCAGCGTGTATTCTGAGGCTACACATAGTTTGTTTTGCTGTTGTACAAGCAGATAAAGCATTTCTTGTGCACATGTTGGAGGTTGTGAGTGAGTGGGCAGATGAAAGTGTTTGATATTTTGTGACCTGTGTTTTTTTTGGTAGAAAGAAAAAAGTGTAATTTTCGTGAAATGTACCGTGAGGTGGTAGGCACAGATTAAAGTTGACTTTTTCTGTCATACTTTCATTTGTCACTTCCTGCGTATTTTGGGTTCATCTCTCTGATTTTTGGGTATGCTATTCTATGGTTCTATGTGCTCTGAGTCAAGAAAAAATTTCTACAGAAGTGGTGCTTGTTTCTTGCACAAGCAGAACACAGGAACTTGGAAAACAGGCACATAGAAACTCAAATTGCACCAAGGCATTCCTTATAGTCTGTGTTTGAGGTGAAATCTAAAGCCAGTGGGTTAACTGTTGTCCTGTAGCTCTCCCATTCTCTTACTATGTGACCAGAACAGCTTTCCTGGGATACAGATAGCACTCAAACAGCTGTTGACTAATGTGTGAACAGAATAGCCTGGGTGAAGTGAGTAAAATAGACACAGACAGAGCTCTGGGATAAGAGTTCCTGTATTTTCTCATCCTGTTTATTTATTTCAGAGCTCAGATGTGGCTCATGCAAGGGAGGAACCAGTGCAGACCCGTGCACAGCCCATGTTTTGCTGGGGACTATGGGAAGGGCCATGTCCTGGTGTGCAGGTGGGTGTTTGCTGCACACTGAACCACCAGAGCTCACCAGCCCGTGCCAGGCACTGTGGGGAATGCAGTCACCCGCCTCCTGCCAGAGCCAGCTCGCCAGGATCCTGCTGGCCATTATCAGAATTGTTCCTTTAGCAGCTGTCTGCAGTTTCCTGTTTCCACAGAAACACCAGGAGCGAAGAGGAAGCGCTTTTCTTAGTGTCCTGCTTCCAGCTGCTGCACGCAAAAGTCACCCTTCATCCCTCTTACTCTCACTTCTCTCCTGCAAGTGTGTTGCTAGTGTTTGTCTCTCAGCTGCATTAATCCCTTGGTTTTCCTAATTTTCACTTAAAGAAACTGTCACTTTGGTGCCTCTGCTCTCTAAGGTATCCAGTGTGAGACAGCTCTGTTGGTTCTAACTCCTTAGTACTTAATTTCATCTGTATAAATCACTGTGAGGTAGACTAGTAGCTTCAGCAAAGAACACTTCTTGGCTCTAGATCAAATACCCTTGATCACAGCTGCAGTTCTAGTCCAAACAATATAAAAAGACAAGATATCCTTGAGAAGAGTTTGGTGATCCAGGGACACAGGGAGAGTGGTCAGGGAACAGCCTTTCTCAAAAGCTGTATTTCAGAATTCTGTCAGAGTGAGCCTTGAGTCTGGGATGAGACAGTTTCCACACTACTTTTTAAAGTGATTCTGCATTCTGGATGTTTTGTCTATATTGCAAAAGCCCAGGTGCATATGGAATTTTTAAGAGTCAGATGAAAAGAGACTGCAACTCTATTTGGCTCAACTGTGTAACAGTAGGACAGTTTTCCAATACTACCAAATTATTGCTGCCAAAGAAAATTTGCCAAAAGATGCTCTGAGCTGCTTCTAAGTATTAGAACCAGAAATTTATAATTAAAAGCTTGAGTAGTTCTTCCTAGGAATCTTTTATTTTGCCAAGTCCTTTCTACTTACCACAGCGCTACATATCCTATGTAGTCTTTTATCCAGTTGCTGTCTACTATGGCAAAAGCAGGTGTGGGAAGCAGTCTGGGGCAATGGTTCTGGTAGTTGTGTGAGCTCAGTGGTGCTGACAAGTTTTACTTATGGTAATCAAGCAGATCTGGAAAAAAGAGAACTAAATTTCTGTGGTACTGCAAAGTGCCGCCTCTCAGTCACACCCCGTCAGCGGCAGCTCAGCCCTGTACACTTGTACCTTGCCTGCAGCTCTGCCTCTGCTGCAGGAGACAAACAGCCCAACCACGGGCAAAAAGATCAGATTGGACTGAAGGGCACCCACAGCTGTGTCTGGACATGGTGTGCTAAGAAGCAAACAAAGAAGTTTACCTAGAAGATAAGTTTTCTTGAATGAGGAGGGTGAGCGGGAGTGTTCCTCATCTTCAGCCACAATGTTGTCTTATGTCTGCATGAACTGGATTCTTCTGGTCCTATTTACAGGTAACTAAGTGGGCCTAAACAACTAGATGGAGGTGGATGGAGGTATCATACATCAGTGATTCTGAGAAATTTTATCTTACAACAGAAAGAGTGGTCACATATCACAGAAACTGCAGCTTTGTGTTAGACTTTTATCACAGTGACTCAATAGTGTTCTAGTGGCCTTATCACCTTTTTAAGATAAAATCATGTTTGAGGGTATGATGGTTTTAAAGATGCTCCTTCTTGAGGTAGTCTTGGCTTGTCTGATTAGTGGGCTTTTAAAAACAATGATCTGAGATGAGCAAAGAACTTTAAATCATTTTAGAGAAGTTGTAAAACAAGGATATTTCACTTTGGCAGACTTTGTGAAGATGAGTGCTTAGGAAGACAGGGAAAAGGCCAACTGTGGCTTCTGGTGGTCTTTAGCTAATATGAAATTGTATTGGAACGAATTGGTAATTGCTCCTGTTTTTTTTTTTTTAATCTGAGAAACCAGTCCTAGATTTTTAAAGGCAACAGCACTGTAAACAACAGGTTGTAAAGTGGCACTAATAAAGACAGACATTAAAAACTTGGTGGTAAGATAAATTCAGCAGAAAGAAAAGGGATATTACAGATACTGTTTCTTGTAGTTCTTTATACAGTCTTTTATGATGAGATTAATTTCAAACTTCCTTTTTATATTAAATAAAAATTATAGACCAGACTGGACTTTCAGTAGAGATAATTTGTTGCCTGTTCTTGCTGCACAGAACTCTATTCCTGAAATGTTAATATGGATGGATCAAAATATTTACACATGTGATCCCATGTTACTGAATTTGATAAGAATGTGCAGTAGTCAGTATATAGAAAATGGTTTTCTTTGAAGTACAAACAGCGTGTGCACTTTGGGAGCCTCACTGCATACCCTTTTAGAAGAAAGTGGTTACAGGATGACTGTGACTGGATCCCCAGAGCACAAATCATTTTGACTGGTACTTAACTAGCTTTTAATAAAACTCTTCTAAAGGGAGTATTGACTGGAGTGATCTAGATACACAAAAGAAACTATCTCACTGTAATGAATGAGTGCTAGGGCTCACTGTGTTCACCTGAGTAGTGTGACACAGCCTTCTGGAAACATGAAAAATTACCTTTAAGGGGAACCAAACAACTTAGAACCTGCCTAAGAGTGAGAAGAGAAAATAAGGTAGTGAAAAAAAAGAGTATAAAATTTCTCAGAAAAGCTCTGAAAAATCCCTTCTGATCAGAATGGGCAAAACGTGACTTTGGGAAAGAAAATCAGAAATTCATTCAGCAGTAATCATTCTGATGAAACCTTCCTTTTAGTGGCTCTTCATTAAAAGGGAAGAAGAGTTTCCCACAGTGGTTTTGATTAAAGTCAGTGTCTTACTGCTCCCCTCTGTGTGGCTTGGATTAAATCTAAAGGAAGGAAAAGAGCTGACAGACTGCACCTGGCTCAAGAGAAGCCACAGAGTTGAGCAAATCCAAACACTGTTATCTCTTCACCTCACTGCCTACCTGCAGAGGCTGAAGAAAGTGTATTTCTTCTTTCTGTGATGAGAGACACGTTCTGAACATGCAATTGGCCTGATCGTTATCCCTCACTGCATCATTCCTGCCGGGACAAATCTATTTGTGGAAAATCTGCTCCAGCAATGCCTGGTGGTGGTTGAGAGCTGAGAAGTGTCAGGACAGGCAAGATGCACAAGAAGCCCCCCCTTGCATGCCCTGTACTCAGCAGCTCTGTTGTTTTGTCCACAGGCCCCACAGTATCAGAAATAGTGATCGGAGAGGTTGGTCAGAACGTCACCGTGCCCTGCTTCTACAGCGTCCGGAGGACACAAGACATCACATCCATGTGCTGGGGGCGGGATAGCTGCCCTAATTCACGGTGTTCTCGGCCCATTGTCTGGACAGATGGATGGAGGGTGACAGAGCAGTACAGCAGCAGGTACCTATTGCGAGGGAACCTGACGAAGGGCGACGTTTCCCTCACGATTGTGAACGCCGAGGAAGCAGACAGTGGGACTTACTGCTGCCGTGTGGAGCACCGGGGGTGGTTCAACGATCAAAAAACTAATCTCAAGGTTGTGATAAGGAAAGGTGAGTACAGAGGTGTGCTCTTGTCTGAGTACCCTTGTGGTAAATCTGCTCTTGGGTCTGGGTTTCAAAGCTTGTGGTCGAAATAGTTTCTACGATCATCCATAAGGCTGATATTTAGGACCTTGCGGGTCTGCTGTTAGTGGTGTTCAAATTGAGCTGTCTCTGGCAAAGTTCTTATCCCAGCACAGTCACTTCAATTAACAAAAGAATGTGGTACTTTGTTTCACGGTGCACAGCACTACTGAGCTTTCTTAGAATAACTGAAGAGTTTAAGAGGAAGGGCAGCACACAGTACTTAGTTCATCCAAAGCGTTATCGCTGCACTCATTTCATAGAAAGCCATGTTTGATTTTCCCTGCTTGATTCTAGAGTAAAGCCCAGGGACACAAAATTGATATAGAGAAGTTTTTTATCAACTCTTCCTTTGATTTTTAGTTTTTCTCTTGCTTGTGAAAAGCATGATAATATATGGAACAACTGGCTGACAGAGGTACTTGTGTAGCTGGTGCTAGCAAATCCTTACTGTAGAAGCACTGTCTCTTTTTCACTACATAAATGCACACTAAGGTTAATTATAACGTGTTGGTTTTGTTTTATTTTTTAACATCAGCTAGGATCTCTACTGCAAGTCCTCACACTTACACCTCTGAACAGACATCAGGTAACTTTTATCCAAGTATTAATCTCAATAGTATATATAAGGCATATTGCAAATGGGGATCTTAGGAAGGAAACAAAATGATGCTGGATGATAGAAATGTCTTGGCTAAAATTTACTAAACATTACCATAGAATGAAAGATCAGAACTTGGATTTAAATTATACCTGATATTATATAAAGAGTCCAACAGAAGGAACATGTATATGTGGGAGGAAGCTTGCTTCCAGGTGTGATACTTTAGAGGTTTTAATGGTGCTGCAAACTTTGCTTTTATTGTGGCTGTTGTTTTGGTTTGTTGGTTTGTTTGGGATATAAAATCTCACCTCTTCTTCTAGAAATGCATTCCCTGAGAGTAAAACTCAACTTTTGAGGAGTTGGGTGTACCCACTGCTTAATCAGCTAATTTGTTGCTCAGTAATATAGAACTGTTTTATTGGAGTAGCTCAAAAGCACATCTAATCCAGGATCTTGTCTCCAGTAGCAGTCAATAGCAGATGATTAAGGAGGATCATAGAAACAGGGCAGTAATTTTGTGATACAGTGCCAAAGTATTCTTCTACCTTGGTATATGATGTGTCTCAGAGGTTGCCCACATCCTCTGTAGCCTGTGAACATTTAAAAACACGAGATCTCTCATTGTAGTAGAAGGGACAGTGCACAACTGTTCCCTACTCAGTTTCTCCATTCCCCTCACAAGTGGATAAATTTCTATCACATACCCGCTCAGCTGCATCTTTTTCAGTCTGAGAAAGACACCTTTAATTTCCATTACACAAGAGAAAGCTCATGGTGTAACAATATTTTCTGGATTCTGAAAGAAAAATCAGGGATGCCATTTGTATTTCTCCCTTTGTCTTGGATGTTTCCAGCTAAGCAACTCTAAATTAGATTGTTACAACAGTTGCATTTCCTTTTTGGAAAAAGAAGTGAAAACTTTCTCAGATTGTTTCTATTCTAGTTGCAAATAATATGGCTTTCCATCTTAGAACTCATGAGTTTTCTTAACCCTGTGACATCTTTGTTGGCTGATGGTGGAACAGTGTTTTAAGTTTTCAGAAGACAAGTTCTGAATGGCAGAGAACAGTGAAGCCAATGATCCTGTCCTCTTCAAAATAAAGCTTCTGGGAATAAGGGTAACAATGTAAAACATTAAAGCAACCAGCTAATGTTGTCATAAAGTGAACAGGAGATTTTATTTTTAGGAGGTTTTTGTATCATCCGAGAACTCGTGGAGAAACCGAGACTGATGATAAAGAAGTCAGAAGTTTGTAGCTCTTAATTTTAAATATTGCAAACAGCTTTGCTCTGGGAAATTACCTCAAAATATGCTGCAGGTCCTTATGCAAATATATCACTTTTTTTGTCAGTCTGTTTACTGCACAGCTGTCTGGGACTTTAAAGTATCACTTGCTTTTTGACTCTGCATCAGTTGCTGTTTCAAGGCCCTGGGATAACCTTCATCAGTTTTCACCAGATAACCTAAGTTCACTTTAGGCATCATTTTTTGCTTCAAGGCCAGGTTGGATGGGGCATTGAACCACCTGGTCAAGTGGAAGGTGTCCTGTCCTTTGGCAGGGGGATTGGAACTGGGTGATCTTTAAGGTCCCTTTTAACCCAAACCATTTCATGATTCTATAATCCACTGCTTCTTGGCTCCAAACCCAGATGGCTACTTTGATAACTCCTTCCCAGTGTTCACATGACAGCAAGAGCCAAGTGTTTCCTGGAAGGAATTCAAAGCTCTGAAAAGGGCAGCAGAAACTCCAATATTCAGAGTTTTGTGCTGCCCTGTGAAGACACCAACCTCTTTATGATATACAGAGCCCAGACTACTGATAGACATTTAAGTTCAGTGGTTCCAAGTCAGCAATACAGATTCCTCTGTGTCAAGGCAAAATGGTTCTTTGTGCAAGTGATGTGTTTGTCTTGTCTTTGCTCAGCTCCTGGAAGCACCAGTGGATCCTCCTTTACTGTCACAGAAACGTGGCCAGCATCTGCCTCAGAAGCTCCTGAGAATGTAAGCATCTCCTTTGCTGCAGCATAGCTGGGCAGAGTGGATAGAAATGAGAGTTTATGGGGTCATCCCTACAGGCACTTCCACTGCTTTTTTTTTGATTGCAACAGAATATTGTTGTTTATAAGAAAGAGTTCTTATAAAAGAGGAGGGGAAAAAACCTGCTTAGCATGCATAAAGTACTTCCTACTAATGGAGGAAGAGCTTTAGCAACATCTGCATTGCCTTTCAGGCCTCTGGTCCCTGCTCTGACACCTCAGACTGCTCAGATGTTACTGCAAACCTGCAGGTATGGCAGGATGTGGGGGAGAGTGGAACTTGGACCACGTGGGAGCACAGGGATGCCCTGCACTTCCTGTGCAGTGGGGTTCAAACAGGCTGTCCTGCCAGACCTCTTCCTGTCCTGCTGAGCCCTCCAGCACGTATTACAGGGTGACAGGCAGCAACAGCACCCAAATTTTATCAGGAAGACCAGCCAGCCAAACCAGCCTTTGGGGAGGCCTGCTGTGATGTACAGTCAGACAGTCTGTGCTGTGGGAGTTCATGCTGCTGAATGTGCAGGATGCAAGTCAGGGACCATACTGTGCTTCCAGTGTCTTTCCAGGCCTGAGATACCAATGGCAGATTAGATACTAACAGCTGGCATCAGAAAGAAGTTTAGCCTAAATAAAAAACAATGCAAAAGAGAAGGTGCATTTACTTATTGATATAAAGCCTTGAATAATTGCTGAATAAGCTGATAAGAAGGTGGGAGGGTGTGACATCAGGAGATATTTTGATCATAGAAAAATTCACCAAATGGTATTAAACCTCAATAAATGAGATTTGTCATAACCTCAGGTCATTTGATAATCTCAGAAATTTGTTTAACAGCATGGGTCACCTAAATGTTGCAATGATTCTGCTTGAAACTTGTCCTGTTTCTCAGATTAGGCTTTTGGTCTCAAATAGACTTTTCCTGCAGAGTCGCAAAACATATAAATGGCCTTTGAGTGCTGTATGGGCTTCTTGCTGCCAGTTCCACTGATGCTCATCTGCCTTGTGTTTGACAGAACACCTCTGTATCGCTTCCCAGTCAGCAGTATGCAGAAAATGGTCTGTACATTGGGATTGGGTCATGTGCAGTACTTCTGGTCATCCTGATTTTGGCTCTGTTCCTCACTAAACGTAAGTACTTTTCCTGGGCAGTTATTCAAGGATTGCTCAGGTTTGTCCCATGACAGCTGTGGCAGATGTCACACGTCTCCCGCTTCGGGGCAGTGAGCTGAGGTCTCTGGATTCCTCACTCGGTCCCTGTGCTGTGGCTGCTCAGTCAGCTCTCTCCCTGTGGCCTCTGGGGCCCTGAAGAGCAAGGTGTGAATGTGGCCTCCTCATTTTGTGACTCTTCAGCAACCAGACAACCCAGGCTGTGGTTGTGCCCTGCTCATTTCCTCCTACCCATTCCGCAGTTCCTTGTTCTCCCAGTTCCTTCCTGAAGATAATTATTTATTTTTGAACACACTGCTTTACTTGCTTCTAATTGTTTTAAAAAAACTATTTGTTTTTCTTTTTTTTCTTTATTTTTATTCTGGATGGTCCTTAGAATACTTATACAATACGAAGAAGATGGATGACTTTGCAAAGTAAGTATTCTGTTCCTGCCTTTGCTGATAGGACAAATGAGGTTGCAGAAAGAGAATGTCAGTATGCTGACCATTCCATCACATACTTTGACTTTCTTTTTTTAATCTCAAGTTAATAGAAAGCATTACAAAAAGAAATTAATAAATTCTGCTACTTTTCATTACTTACTAAGCAAAAATGAGTAATAACTATCAGTTGATTGCATTAGGGAGCATGCAAACCTCAAGTGTGGAAAGATGATTCATTATCAGTCATGATAATAAGAGTTTATTCATGTTTCACTCTTTCCAGTGAGCTGGTTGATCTACTCTTCTTGGTTTTATTGTCTGTTTTTGTTTAAAACCATTATTTTTACTCTTTTGTGCAGCTTCATTGCATTTCAGAGGCCACAAGGTGTGGGGAATCACAATGCCCTGGAAGATGAGATCCATGCAGAGGAAAATGTTTACATCATACACTAAGGACTGTATTAATGCTTGCCTTTGTCACTGTGGGGACATTAAATAGTTTGCAAAATGTTAGCTGCTCCCTCTGCTCAGCAGCTGCATGTGTCTGCACTACTGAAGCATTACTCACATCGTTCTAATAAAACAAATAAAAGCTAAACTTGCAATTAAAATCTTTATCAGCCTGTTCCAGAAAGAGAAACTGAAACCCTACTGTTTTAAATGGAAATTTTCATTTCCTAAAGAAAGTTACCATTATATTTATTATCTGCTTCAAATTCTCGCTTCCTTTTTGGAAAAAAGAGGAAGTGCCAGAAGGGCAGAATTGACTTCGCTGTGGGTTCTGTCTGCCACCTACCACAGAGCTTGTGCCATCAGAGGGCAGAAGCAATATCAAAGCTGCTGTGACAAACCTGTCACATGGGAAAACTTGGTAGTATTAGTGATTTAATGTACATTTAGTTGGATTTTCAGTGAAGACAAGTATACCCAGTCCTGGTAACAGCTCAGTAATACAATATACTAATTCCTGTCCACCTGCAGTTAAAGCTGGGGGAGCTATGGATGCTCACCCCTCATGGGATGACCTCGGAGCCTACAGCATCAGTACTTCAATGTACAGAATATTCACACCTTGTGTTAAGAGAACTATGACTAAATGTGTTTCTCTCTACAAAATACATCTCTTTTTTTCTGTGGTTTTCTCCTCAGGCCCACCTATACCCTGAGAAGCCCTTGGGGTGGAAAGTCTTACTTCCAGGCATCTAAAACAACTGAACAAATAATACCCACCTTGTAAAGTTAATTAAGTCCTCTTCTTAGCTTATGGAGAAGTCATGGACATTACACAAAATATTGCTTTGAAGTTGGCCTGCCTTCACACCCCTCTAAATAGCAAACAACTAATTCATAAGAATGCTGAATGTATTTGATGGATTTTAGCCCATAAATACAGAGAATCTGTGGTTGAAGTCTTTCCTCCATTGCTCCTCAGTTAGTGATGTGTCTCAGCTCTTACCCTCTGCAAAACTAAACTTTGGTTTACTTTAAATAAAAAAAAATGGAGGCAGACCCATGAGTATGAATCAATCCCTTAAGCATTGTTAAGCAGGAGATAAAAGACCAAAATCATCTTTGAGTGGAAGAATAATTTTCTTCAATTGTTTTTAAGAACACATTTTAAACAGGGGCTGGGGACTGAAAGAGCAGAAAAGTAGCAGAGGCAGGAGAGAGACCAACTCTTACCAAATATTGTTCAGTACATTTTGCCCTGAAGCCCATCCCAAGCAGCAGTGTGGAATTATCTAGTGCAGACATTGCTGTCACAGGAAAGATTCACAGATGTACCACAGAGTTTCTACCATTGAGTTAATTTTCAGCTTCAAAATCATTTTCAACTATGCAATGAGGCATAAAGGTGGAGTAATGAAATCAGCAGGTATTTATGTCAACAGCTGAGATGCTTTGAGGCCACGGTCTGGTTGTATTTAAGGGGAGCTGGGGGTCAGTGGAGCAGTTACCCCTCCCTCTCCCAGCTGGTAGAGAGGGGAGGGCTTGGGTTGGCTGGGGAGGGGAGTGGTTCCCCAAGAGCCCTGGCTGAGGTGGGATCTTGCAGGTGAGTGTGCTTGCAAATAGTCATAAAGGAGGGAAAGGCTCCTCATCTTGTTGAGGAAGGAAGAACTGGAAAGCAAACTGGAACAGGTGACCCTGGTGTGCTCTGTATTTCACTCGTGCTGGGCGTTCTCTTGGGGCTGTCTGTTGCAGCAGGGCTGAAAGTTTGAAAATGTGGAGGTGGGTTCATGGCTGACTGAAGTGCTCCATGTGGGAGCAGAGCTATTACTGTTCCCAGGGGCAGGAAAATTATGGACAGCACCAGCTCTGCCATCTTCTGTCTTCATGTCATGTGTAGCTTTGTGTAAGAAGGTACCGAAACTAGAAAGCACCTGCTGGTGTTAGACTGTATTTTTGCATTTGACTATTAATAACAATTACTAACCTAATATCACTGCCTCTGCTGAAGACATTGCTTTTCTTCTACCTGGCAGAACATGTTGCTGCTGTGGGCTCTAGCCCGTGACTGGAGATAGAGGAAGTCTGATCTGGTCTCTGAACTAGATCTCAGAAAACATCTTCAGCAATTTCTGCTTTCTGCAATTTTATGAAATTGGTCTCTGCTGGGGTCAGAGTTAGACACTTGTAGGGTTTCCAAAATCATCTGATTGCAACCACCCCTGCTCTTACAGGGTTTGTGGGCCAGCTTTAAGACTGCTAATCATGAAAAATGCTTGTCCATAAGGGTTTTTTTAATATAAGTATTTCAGACTAAATCAGGCTAATTATTATATCAGCAACTTTTACAGGTAAAATAAAGTTCTAGAATATCTGATAACCAAAATCTTGAATAAAGTCTCCTTTCTCCTGTGCAGTTACTTGGTAAACAGACTTCGCAAAGATTGTGCAGAGCAAGAAATTTGCAGTATAATACACACAAATCCATGCAGGCAGAAGCTCCCTGTGTTTTTTCATTTCTTCCACTTGTGCCAGTGGATCTTGGAACAGGCACTTCAAAATGAGTCCCAGGTGGCACTTGGAACCTTTTCACACATTAAGAGATTGTCCAGCTGCACAAACTGGCAGCACACTGAGCTGATGAGGCTGACGAGCTGCAAAATGATTTTTTTTTTTGAGACAACTCTCTGCCTGTCCTTTTCTGCCTGCAACAAGCCACTAGATAGCAGTACAGAAGCAGAAGGCAAGCCATGTTTTTCTGGTTCTTCCCAGCACACTTGGATTTTGGATGGCCCTTTTCAATGCACTCTGCTGCATTTAGCCCAGTCTTGCTATAGAAACAAAACTGATACAATGCCACGTTCATCCTGCTCCTTCTTTAGTTTCCTGGAACATATGACTGATTCTGTTTGGACAACCTCCATGGAAATTTGTCATTGAATAAAGACCCAAATTTGTCCCCCAGGTGAGATTGAGCTTCTCCCTGCATTGGCATTAGCTGGACATCAGCTCACAGCCACTGCTTAGTGGTGAGTAACAGGAGAAACAAGGGGAAAAGTCTCCAGGATATTGGATGCTCCAGGTTTCATTAGTTCTGTTCACAGAACAGCTGGGGCTGTGTGTAAATGACATTGTATGAACTGTATCTGGTAGAATATAGCAAATAAGGTATTTTACTCATTGCCTTAACTGCAAAAATTTTATTTGATTTTTTTCAATGCTAGCAAGCAGAAGAGTGATATTTTCATGGGCTTGACTGCTCATGATAAGCCCAAAATCTCGTTACTAAAGGTGTAATGCCTGGTTAAAAGCCCATCATTTTACTGTTTGAACTTGGAATTGCATTCTTGTTTTACACCGTGCTATATTTATTTGCACTGAATTTTGTCTATCTGAAATTCTTCAATCCTGAACTTAATGTCTTGAATTTTTGCTTTAGTGCTAAGCTTGTCCAGAGAAGAACTTCCAGAGAAGTTCTTTATTAAGTGGGCAGAAAGTTAAAAAGCAGCCAGAAAGAGTAGAAAATATTTCTTGAAGATGATGTTGCAAATCTTTGGGAAGGATGTGGTTTTGGCAAGGAAACATTTGTGAGATTTCCTCCAAGGCTGTCTTTGCAAATAGAAAATAAGAACCTGGGGAAAGAGAGGAGTCTTCAAGCAGAAATCAGAATCAGGGGAAAGGAGGGATTAAATGAATGTAACTGAAGACAAAGTCAGAGGTGGAGACTATGCCAAATGTTTAGGAGTGCAGGAGCACAGAATGTGTGCTTGCTACTCAGCACTGTGCAACAGTAATGAGCCTTAAGAGATCTATGGGATGGCCAGAAAAATTCAGTATTGAAGTTTCTGGTGGTAGTACCATGCTGAGTGTCTCAGAAGAGGAAAGGAGAATAGGATGGCCTGTTCCACTGTTTGACCACCCTCTTGGTAAAGAAATGCTTCCCCATGTCCAGTCCAAACCTCCCCTGATGAGCTTGGAATCATTCCCACGTGTCCTTGACTGGGTACCAGGGAGAAAAGATCAACATTTCCCTGTCCATATCCCCTGCTCAGGAAGCTGCAGGGAGCTGTGAGGTTGCCCCTCAGCCTCCTTTTCTCCAAACTAGACAAATCCAGAGTCCTCAGCTGCTCCTCACAGGATGTGCCTTCCAGCCCTGCCACCTGCTCTGTTGATCTCCTCTGGGTGCATTCAAGTGCCTGAATGTCCTTCCTAAATTGTGGGGCCCCAAACTGCATACAGTGCTCACACTGAGGCTGCACCAGTGCTGAATACAGCAGGACATCCCCTCTTTTGACCAGTTCCCATCCGGAAGTGTAGGAAAGAAACAGTTGCAGTGTGTAAAATCTGGAAATGGAGAAATGAGACTCCAGTGGGGCTCACTCAGCGTCTCTGGAAAGGATAAGATCTACTTTTCTCTTCTTCCACTTGCTGCCCTGGAGTCTCCATCAACTAAAATGACCCATTTTGTGCTGTTTCACTGGATTCTGATACAGATCTTTATAGGTGAGTCTTCACCTGCTTTTTTTGTGCTTGCTAAAAACCAAAAAAAATTTAAAAATTAAAATCAACGACACTTGTTTTGTGAAAACAAAACATTGAAAAAGACCATAATTGTATACAGAACTTCGAAAGTTTTCTTAATTTACTGAGTTAATACTGGTTGAGGTTTGATTTTTTTTTTTTCACTTTTTAAAAATGTATACAGATTCCTCTGTGTATAGGCTTGATTAGTTTCCTTGTTCTCTTCCCTTGCAGAGCTCCTTAAGGATGAGAAGGGTTTTTGTTACCTCCTTTTCATCTTGGCTCAGTGCTGAGAATAGGTGGCCAGTGAAATGCTTCTTTTCTGTTTATCAGTTGTATCCTCTGCAATTGCATCAGTATAGAACCTTCAATAAGAAAAAAAAAAGATAGGGCAAAGATGCCAAATATCTTCTTCAAAGTAGGAAAATTATTCCAGAAATAGATCAAGGGGAAAAAAATTCTTTTTTCAGCCAGCTGTCTTGGCTGGAGGATGTATGTTTTTGTCTATCCAATGACTAGTTTGTGGGAGAGAAGACCACTACAATAGCAACTATTGGGGTTACTGCTTAATGCCAGCTGTCACTGAGGATGGGTTCAAGAGACGCTATATACAAATATGTGTGTACTTGTATGATCTGAACAATTGTGAATACCCCTTTCTAATTTGAATGATATATTAAACATCTGGAGCCTGTTTCTCTCTCACTGATGAAGGACTTAGAGCAGGAAACCTCACAGACTTCAGTGGGACCACCCAGGCAGAGCTGATGCTCAAGGTGCTTTGGGTCAAATTTGGAGGCCTAGAGGGTAACTGCCATGGAGAAGGACAGGATTCCTCTCACAGTAGGACTAGGGTGTCACAATAAAACCCTCTCCTTATTTCAAACATGTTTATTCAGTCCTATTAACTATTTACTATTTCCTTGGGAAAAGGTGTCTGTGGAAGAGGCTTTGGTTGAGAAATAAGTTTTTCAATCCTTGCAGAGGTTCATACTGTTGAATCCAGGCTGCTGCAGTACTGAAGCTTTCCACAGCAACCTGCAGTGCAGGCAGATGTTGGCAACATTTGCTTCACGGAAATAAAAAGAGGATTCGAAACTGCAAAACCTGTAACTTTCTAGCATAACACTAGTGGGAAACTGCACTGGAGACACTCTGGTGCCTTGTGTCTTCCTTATTCTTCTTTTAATTTATTTACTTAGTTATTTGTTTACTACATCCAGGGCTCTGCTCCTTTCAAAGGGAAGAGCAGGCAAATTTTCATTTGTTAAAGGGCTGCCTAACAAAGCTTCTTTAGTACTGTGCAGAACCGGGCTGAAATAAGAGCAGAAGATGAACCCATTTCTCCTCAAGAAGCAGCAACCTTTATTCTAGCAACAGTTTTAGCTGGTTTTGCATGTATCATTGTTGGGCTGACTTGAAAATATGTGTTAACTCAGTGACTAACCCCTTGCTCCCATAGAAATACTTTCAAGGTCAAGTGAATGCTTTGTTCTGTGATCACAGAAAGAGGCTGTTTTCTGGTTTTTTGTAACAAGGCAAACGAACCTCCCTTTTCTAAGGACACTATCTTGCACAGCTTTATCCTGTTTCTGGCATATCCTACCATCATTTCATTGCAAAAACTTCTGCCCTTCACACCATATTGCGTGTTGTTTTGTCTGCCTCTATTCTTCTAGCATTTGGAGCTGTGGAAACCTGAACAAGTTGGCTTATCTTGCCAATGGGATAAGCAATAATGAATCTGAAATGTCATCCCAATAACGAGTCATGAGGCAGCCTGCCACAGACTAAAACCTCACCTAGGGAATAGTCCCTTAAAGACAAAACAAAAGAGACATGGACACAGTTGGAAGCATCTGTTTGCTATCTGGGAGTCATGCCAAGTAGGAAAGGTATTCAAACAGCTGGCAAAATAGAAATGTTTGGCAAACCAGGGCCAAAGCTGGAGACAGTAGCAGCACCAGCAACTGTAAGTCCTCTTTGGGGTAAGCAAGCTGGCCATGAAACATCAGATCTGCAGGATGATCCTCTTGCTGAAGCAGAGGACAGGTCTGGTTGCTCTGCAGATCCCTCAATTCCTGCTCCACCATATGTAAAGGATAAAAGGGGGAAAAAAGGCAGAAAGGTAAGATGACTAATACAGACTAGATGAATGTAAACCAGAAAATATTTATTCCTATATGGGAATCTGCTTTGTAGAGTGCTTTTCATGAAGAAGAAATCTGTTTTAGGGCAATCTGGGAACTGGATAGGCAGCTAAGAGGGAACAATCTATAGTAAAGATTCCAGCCAGGTGCCACGTTGGGAATTGGCTATTAACACCAATTAAAGCTGGCCATTAAGAGTAAAAGGACAAGGAAAGCATGTATATGCTCTTTTAAACATCAGTGTAACACTGGCAGCTAAAGCTTCTGTGTACACAGTGCTTAGCAAGGTAAGTGGGAGGGTTGGCAGTGCACTTTCTCAGAATAGGTTCACATAGACAGATCCCACTGCTCTGCCAGCTTAATTAGGCCCTAATTTCACACATGAATAGATGTTTTGGACTCTGCTTTTGAGGCTGTCAATGAAAGGCAACTGTGACAGCATTTCTTTTTTGAAGGAGATGATGGTGTGGACTGAGAGAACCAGATGTCTTTCACACCATGTTTCTGAACAACTTTCAAACAGCCTCCTAGGTGAGGAGATGGGATGGGAGCAGAGTTCCCAAAATCCACTTGCCTAGGTCCTGTCTATGCTTGGGCTGCCAGCGACAGACCTCAGCTTCACTCACCACGTCTGATGTGAGTGATGTGCTTCATGAGCCTCCCTCCAGCAGCTGGCTGGGGCCAGAGCATGGAGCCCTCCAGCAGCAAGCAAAGCCTGTGGGCTCCTGGCTGTTGCCTGTAGTGCCCAAGGCCATGATCTGCTACAGGCTCCAGGAGAAGCCTTGGGGGATCAGCAGTGTGGCCTGCCCGCAGGCAGGAGTGTTTCTTCACCTGCCTCATTGTGTTGTATAGGTTGAGTCACTCACCGGAGACTGACAGCACTCACCTTTCCTTGTTCTCCCTTGGCAGCACACACGGCATCCCAAACTGTTGTCAGAGCAGTGACAGGGCAGCCTGTCAAGCTGCCTTGTGACTACCAGGTGACTCGGCGTACGGGCATCTCCGATGTGTGCTGGGGCAGAGGCTCCTGCCCAAATTCAAAGTGCAAGAACACCATTTTGGAAACCCATGGAAGTACGGTGAGATCCAGAAAATCTCAGAGGTACGACCTCCAGGGCTCTATTTCCACCGGAGATGTGTCTCTCACGATTGGGACAGTGGAGGCAGGAGATGCAGGTGTGTACTGCTGCCGTGTGGAGATCCCGGGCTTGTTCAATGACATCAAGAAGAACATACGGCTGGAGGTGGCCAGAGGTGAGTCTGGGGACCCTGGTGATGCAGCCAGCAGGGAGAAACCTCTCCCTGGATAGTGAAAATCAGACCTTATGTGTACTTTGGGTGGTTTTTTGGCCAAAAATATTTTTCCTAAATTACATAGTTTTCAAGGGAGATCTGCAACTAGTTGCCAATTTGAGTCATATTTCATATGCGGTTTAGATGAAAACAAAACAAACAACTTTACCCTTTTTTTAAATTTTTTAAAATTAAATATTTTATTTCTCATTCTGTAACTGCATTTGAATTTTTAAAATATGATGGAATTATAAGAGGAACTTACAATTGGAACTGTTCTTGGAATGAAATTCAGTTTTTCATTTGGGTTCCACCCAACACTGCAAAGACTTCTGTTTCATTCATGTCATAAGGAGACCCACTGTGACTACCCACCCTTAAGGGTGCTTCCTTCCCCTTAAGGGTGGGTTGTCACACCCACATATTTGGAAATTATGTCTCAGAATCTTGAGGGATTTCTTCCCCTTCCTACTATTTTTCTGAGCTGCAGGATAAAGCAAGGTCTTACACAGGAAAAAAAAAAGATACCCACCCTCCATGCTGCAGAAAGACAATTTTTTGGGGACTTTCAGAGAGTGCAATTGGTGAACACAGCAGGTTTGCTTGTCTGTTCTAAGCAATACAACAGGAAAGTGGGTGAAAAGTGCTGCAATTGCATGTCTGTCCCTGAGTTTGAAGGCAACAGAATCCGTTAAAAAAAAAAGGTCTGGTTGCAAAGATTAGCAAGAAGCTCGTAGCTGCAAAATTGAGCTATTTTATTTATTTTATTTTTATGAGGACATTGGAAAGCAAAATCACAAAATTTGCAAGGTTTTGGGTTCTACCATGCAAAATTCTGGCCCTTCCATTTCTAAAAGAGGGTCAAGGGGTGGGTGTTTGAGACCTGCCAAAAAAAAAAAAAAGGCAGATCTCTAAATCTGTGAAATTCTCTGGTGGGTCATGTCTTCTGCTAATGAAGCTTTCTGAATAGTGACTCTTCCACCTCTATTCTCAATGCCTGAGTAGCTAGGGAATTTTCATTCTTTTCTGGCTTGCTTTCCCTCAGGGTTGGTTGTGACTGCTCTGATCTGGCTTTTCCCTTGTCTGTGTTTTTTCCATGCAGCCCCTCCAGTGACAACAACCACCACGAGAAAGGCTCCTGTTTCCCCCAAAGGTGTTAGAAAAACAACTTTTGCTCCCCAGGCAACCTCTGGTCTTCAACCAACAGCAGAGACTGCTGTCCTCCTGACAACCACAAGCACCGAGTCTCCAGCCGTAACTACACTGGAGAGCGTTGCTCCTCCAACAATTCCTATGACAGAAGATTATACTTTTCCAGTAACCGTGGTGACAACCAGTGCTCCCCTGGATTCTTCAGCTATCTCCCATGAAGATGACATGTTTTGTGTCACAGAGCCTGGTCCCCTTCCTGGAAGTACAGAAGGTAATCAACACCAATTTTTCCTTTTTCTCTATAGCAGAGGTGATCTGTGTGAGCATGACTGTCACTATAGACACTCTCCAAATACTTATATTTGTACCTGGAAAGTTTTCTCTGAGATGCCTGTAGGTATGTCTAAGTGGGTTGAAGGAAACATGGGCCAGGTGTTGTAGGTAATGCTAAACTGGCATGAACAACCAAGACAGCAGAGGGTCAGACTTCATTCAGAGGAGTTTTAACAGCCTAGAGAAATAATGTGACAGAAACTTCATGAAGTGCAACAGAAATAAATGCCAAGTCTGGCTCCTGAGGTGGAGTAAGAGAGATTCACCTAACTATTTTTTTCTTGATTTGGAAAAGACAATTGAAATGATCTGGTGAAAAGGTTAATTTAGAACATGTTCTGCTGGAGCAATAAAGTCATTGAGAATTTAAAACATGTTAAAATAGAAGGCTGCTTCTATTAGTAGTCAGAGTGACCTGTTATCATCCTAACCATTCCTAGGTTGCTACTTTATCCTCATTAGTGACTTGTTTTCCATGGATAGATAACTGCACAATTTTGAATGCCATATGGAGACCCTCCTAATCAGTAATCTTTATAAGCATTACTTTTTACTTTGTTTCAGTGACTACTGAATTCCCAAATATACTTCTGACTGAAGAGGGAAGTACAAGTGCTGACACCTCTGTCATGATGGAAGAGGTGCCAAACGCAGGTGAGTAGGATACATTGCAAGGTCAGAAGTTGCTGGTTCAGAGAAATTAAGAAGTTGGCATAAATAAAAGTATTGATTATTCCTAAGAGTGTACTAAACAGATACTGGTAGTTATTCATTGCATCTGGCAGTAAGAAGTATCTGGGATCCACACAGAAATTGTTTCAAATCAGGATGTAACAACAGCTGAGAAAAACATGTTTTTAAGCCTCCAAAGAAAGTAGATTTTGAGTCACTCACTATTGTTGGGTATCTCAGGTATGAGAGAAGTTAAAAACTGAACTTTTCAGCATCCAAGCTGAATTTTCAGATATCTGATTTGTCATCTCTGTGAGTCCTTTGAGCTTTCCATTTTAAATCCTTCCTGAGTGTTCTGAGCTTTGAACCTCACTGAATGTATTCAGCCAGATATGGCTGCAAGCTCAGCTCTCCATGCTCAACACATCTCCTTGGTCATGATGGAAAGCAGCAGGCAATTACCACAACTATCAATCATGGGAAAAAGAACTGGAACACAAGATCATACATACCTGAGAAATTAATAAACTTGCATGAAGTTTGCACTTTATGTCTCTCAGTCAAGTATTCAAGTAGAATGGCACAAGTTATTCAGGTCTGATAGTTTGCTCACCACATGCCCTCAAATGAGGACCTAAAAAATGAAAACTAAACTTCAAGGATGACACATTTGGCCTTTCAGTTTCAATAAGTGCCAAGAATCTCTTAATTTTTAAAACCACAGCATTTAGAGTTTTACAGGTCTTCTTTTGTTAGACCTAGAGACTTGCAGCAGAAATAATGTTCTTTAATGCCCCTGGAGAGGGCTCACAGAAGAGACTAAATTGGTCTCCTAAGCATTTGTGAGGGTTTCTCACTCCTGTCTCACTTGTCGTCCTTCTGATATAGGACTGGTTAATGCCTGGATTCTGCAATAGTAAATAGGAAGCTTTGCAAAGGGTCTTAGCTCTGGGATTCTTGTGTGCTAGAAAGAACCACCACAAAAGCAATAACAGCAGAAGATGTACTGAGCTGATGTGAGTCACCTACACCCCCACCCATGTGAAAACTTGTGTCAAACTGTCACAAGGTGTGAAAATGCTGAGGCACAACTGACTGCTGTCTAGCAAGAAAAAGTGCATCATCTTCATAGAGCTTTCTTATATCTGAATATAAAAATGTTTCCTGTGGTCATGTAGCTTTCAAAACCTGTAATCATCTAAGTCTGACCACAATTAAACTGACGCAGTTCCTCCACTTGAACATATACCTTTTTTACTACCTCTGCTGTCCGTGACATCTTGTCATGTTACAGAAGTGAGAACTCCTTCACAGCAGACAAGTTTCTACCATTTTCTACCATCTTGCTTCATGTGCTGCCCCTGGGAAGCCTCCTCTTTCTTGATGAAGACTGACATTTCCCAATAGCTTCCTCAACTACCACTTGTGGTGGAAACTGGTTGTTCTCTTTCGGTGCAAGGTGCTTTGTTTCTCCTACTCAGGGTCAGATTTTGCCCTCCTCATTCCCTGAGGGTTCATTACTCCTTGACTGAAGCAGTGACAGCCACAGTAGCCCTCACTTCTTCAAGTGACTGTGCCAGTAACAATTTCAATCTCTTTCATTTTCAGGGATTGCAGCAAATTCAGATGGCAAGGCTGAGCAACATGATGATAGTGGAGATAAGGTAAAATTTCCTGTAAGCTTCAAGAGTGTTTGAGTAGAAATCAGAAGGACAGCAGGACATGATAATGATTTTTAATGTATTCATACTAAAGGGGACAGCTTTTGCAAACAGTAGCTTGAACTTTTGTTTAGAAGCTCAGGAACCATCTGTTCATTTTTTCCAGTGGATAGAGCCAAAGCCTGTGAGCATCCCATCTGGCTTGGACACTTCAGAAAAAACTCATCCCCCTGACACCCCTGTAAGAGAGGCAGAGGATGCAAAAGGCAATTTAGGAGGGTGTTACACTTCCCTCTGTCTAATTAAGAGGAGGATGAGGGTGAATAAGCTCCTACTTTAGACACATTATTAAGAAGTACATGTTAAGTGGGATGAATCCAGCTTCAATATTTCAGAAGAAGATTTATTTGATACTGAACAGGTTGTTTATCATGATCAACTTGATGTGTCTTCTCTGCTTTGTACTGGCAAGCTCAGAAAAGCCCAATGCAGATAGTTCAGTGCTCTGAGCCAGTAAACAGGCTGAAGTAAACAGGCTCCTAAAGCCTTTTCAGTTTTTCTCTTCTCCCTTCCAGTTTCCCAGCTCTGTCATTCTCATTGCCTGTGTCACAGCGGGGGCCATTCTTTCCGTGTTGATGTTCTCACTGTTTTGGAAACGTAAGTATCCTTAAGCACGTGATTGACAAATGATTCTAACACTGGCCAGTTGCACATGTCCCTCTGTGTCTCTGGTTAATCTTCTGGGAGCTCTGCCATGGCCCTTGTGACAGTGCTCTGTTCGTTTCATGGGCACTGCTGTCCTTACTCCAGCACTGTGTCACCACAAGGAGACCAGGGAGCGTGGTTTGGTGGGGATGAAGCAGGAGAAAGCCTGTGCAAAGAACTTTTTCACTCACTTGTGGCAGGTCTGGCTCATCTTGTTGGCTCTTTCTTTATAGTTTATTCATCCCATAATTTCCTGGAATTGCTCCTGAAAGACATTGGTGTAACTGAAATCAGAATGAGAACCTTTCTTTCCTGCTTAGCCCACAGAAATTTTGCAACTTGCTATCATTGCTTTTGAACTCATTTGACAGATACATTAGAATTATAGATTTTGTTTTGCCGTTGTGACGTTAATATTATTTTGCTTCTAGGTAAACACGTAAAGAAACTTATAATAAAAAGGTAATCCATTTTGTAATTTCCTATTAAAAGTTCCAGTGTAATTTTTCTTAGAGACAGGAAGGTATTGGCCAGTGATTGTAATGGGTGTAGTATTGGCTTGGGGTGCTGACTACAGGAAGCTTCAGATAATTTCACTGCAGAAGATCAAAGAGTGTTTCCTGGATGCTGCTTCTCTGTACCACTAGAGAACTTAGCAGCTGGTACTTACTGTGTAGTGACCTCAGCTTAAGGAAGTACCTTTTGATCTAATACTAGGGAACTGAATACCTGTGCAGGTGTAACTGATCAGTTCATGTCTTCTGGCTTATCTTCAAAAAAAAAGGATTTTCTGTGGACAAACCACAGTATTGTCAGTAAAATATCATCCCTTTTTCAGAGACCAATAGTGTTTCAATGGTAGATGGTCCCTCACTGCATACTCCACCTCAGAGATAGGCACTGGGGGCCAAGGAGAGACTTTTCTGAATCCCATGGTGGTTACCCCACAGTCATCATGAGATCTGAACAGGCCTTTCCTATCCATTGCAAGCAAGGTAAATATTTCTCTGATGTAAAAAGAGGGTGTTGCTCCATTTCATTTAGTGGACTCAGTAGCTTCAGGTTTCTGTTTCGATAGGAATTTGCTGTTACAAATCAGAAAGGATACTCTGAAAGAACAAAATCCTTTTGCTCCATCCGTAGTGATCTCTGCTTCTCACTGCAGTGTTGGACCTCCAGAAGAGCGTGAGAAAGTTTTCAGTGGTGTCGAAGGAGAAAACAACATTTTTTCCCTGTGAAGACCTCGTACATTATCTGTAGATGCTGTGGAAAATAAAAAGGGCCTGTTTCATGCTGCACTAAGAGATGCTTATGAGCCTCCAAAATATCAATGGGTGTAAACCACAGGCCTGAGCTTCAACTACAAAAATTTAAAATCTTCATGCAAATTATGCCATATCACCCTTAACACTTATTGCATAAAGAAGCTTATTTGAGAAGGGGCTTTATGCATTATTCATGGATGCTTCTGGCATCTGCCTTCTTACTAACACCATGTTGCACAATTGAATTTATTTTTCTCCATTTTTGCTAATGCTCTTCTTTGAATACAACTTATACTGTGAGGAAGAGAAAAGATATTACATGGAAGGCTGCCTATCTTCAAATTGCCAAAAGGAAAGAAAAAAATCAGAAACTATAGTTCTTATTGCTTTCATGTAATCAACAGAAAAAATAGCTACAAGAATGCTGTGAGTTTAAATCAAAAATGCAGATTACTTAAGAGGTACCAATACTGCCTGTGATTCAGCATGTTTGAATGACCCTTGGAGATTATGTTAATAAACTTTTAATTTACCACTGGCAATTGTTTTTTTATGCCACATCCTAAGGTATATGAACAGGAGTTAGTTATTCCCCAGGTGTTGAAATGACTGGTGTGCCATCTCAGCTCTCCAAAGAACTACTGCAGCATTCCCAGAGGTGGGAAAATACCCAGAAGACCAACCTGGAGGCTACCCTGCTCCCACAAGCCCTCATACCACTCATTCCTATATCCGTTAGTGAAGAGGGACTGGCCGTGGAGGCTGGGGGGATCACCTGTGGGATATGCTCCAGGGTTTTTGTGTGTCTCACTGGGGTCCTCACCGATTCTGCTGCAGCGACTGTGGGAATGGCATGGGAGAAGGTTCAAATCCATGACACTGTTTGTTACCTGTGTTGCCTGGAGTTCACCAGGGCCAGCTATGGCACTTCTGGTCAGCAACAACTTGAAGTAAGAGCACATTGTAGGAATAGCATTTGTTCAGAAGGAAACGTGTGGCAGCTCTGGACTTCCCCACCAGTCATGCTCAGGGCTGTGGTGAGACTTTTGGATCCTCCAGCATCCTCTCACAGGCTGTAAGTTGGGGGAGGTGGGGGAGGTTCCTCTTTGGGGTCCCTCTTGGTCTCCTCTGGGTTCAGCACCCTGGTCTAGTGGTGTTGTGGCAGGCAGAGGAGAGTCCCCAGACAGTGGATGTGGCTCCAGGCTGGGTTTGCTCAGCTGAGCCCTGTGACTGTCACACTGATCACTGCCCCAACACACAGCACATGCTGAGCCTGGGGCCTGGCTCCTGGCACTTCTTCTAGGCATGAATCCCACACAAATCTGAAAGGAATAAGAGGAAAAAAAATCCCAAACGGTTTTGACGTACTCCTTTGAAAAACCCAAACTTTTCTTGTTGCCTTTTTTACCTGTCCAATAAAACCTGCTAATTAAGGCAGCAACAGCTCCGTTGCTGCTCCAACTGGCAGAGCTGGGCCAATCCTTTTGCTCTTATTAATTAGCTCTTCACTAATGACTTCTTTACAGCAGAGCTGGCTCTCACTTGGGAAGGTTCCAGCATATTTGCTGTGGTGCTGGCTGGACTTGAAGGCTCTGCTTTTGGGGAGCTGCACAAAGGGAAGAAGAGATGGGAGCCAACAAAGTGAGTTTGATCTGATCAGCCATGTGGAAATGCAGCCCAGAGATGCTGTAGCAATGCTGTAAGTTCAACCTATGTTGCTGAGTGTTTTTATTTATCTTTTATCCGCCCCAATTACTGAGGCAGAGGTTTAGGTTTAGAATGGCAATTGGAAGCAAGGAATCTGGGAGGGTTACATCTAAATGAAAATACACTGAAGTTATTTGTGAGGAACTGACTCTGACTGTCAGTATGTTCAGGGAAAGGTTAAAGGGAGCCTTTTAAAATGTAGCTGGAGGAGACAGAAATGCTGCTTTCCAAAAGCAACAGAAGCCCCAGAATGCAGTCTTTGGGTCCAGTGGAAAAAAACTAGATGAAAGCAGCACATATTTAGAGAGAAAAGGCTGTTGGAGAGGATGTCATTGGCATCTGGAAATGCTGGCCTTTATTTTTTAAAGACTTTTACCTTGGAAGGCAAAGAAATGCACTTGAGTAAAGATAAAGCACTGTAGCCAAGAAAACCCTCTGTTAACAGATTAAAACAATACACAGGGCAAAGGAGCAAAGTTGTTTGCTTTAAAACTGTCATGCATTTCCCCAAAACTCCAGTGCCCCCACCACCTCTCAAACTTCTAAGCACCAAGACTTGAAATCGCTCAGATTTGAGGCCTCTCCTCAGCACTCCAAGCTGCTGGAGTTACCTCAGCATTTATGGACTTGCAATGGGAGCCTGTGGTAGAACAAAGTAGGGTTTAATTTTTTCAGAGTCCATGTCAAACCTAAATGGTGTTGTATCTGGGGAGTCTGGCTCAGCTCCATGGAGCAAGGTAGTTAATTAATGAAAGATTTAGCTTTTGGTCCAAGTAAAAATTTTTACTGGCCCCCAATACTTTATGGACAATTGTCTGTATCAAAATGACTGATTAAACAGGGTAAAGGAGGTCTGACGTGAGGAGATAATGACTGAACTACCCGATTAGTGTGGAGGAGGTACAGAAAAGCAATTAAAAAGGGAAAGTTGAATATTTTGGGATATGGGATTGACTAATGAGAAAACAGGAGGAAATACTGAAAATGAAAAAAAAGGCAAGTGCTGAGTTAGGAATACAAATCCTTTAAAGGGAAACCAGAGGAATGAATTAAATATCATTTTGAGATTAATAAGAGACCTCTCTTAATAGACTTCATTGGAGCTGACTGTTCTGGCAGTCCCTTTCCATCTCAGCAGCACATTTCATTATGTTTCTAGGTTTGTTTCTTAGCCTTAATGTGCTTTTCTAGGCATTTTTTAAGGTTAATATAAATAAATCTCTTGGTTCCAAAGGTGAAATGTAATTGGGGCTTAAGAAAGAGCAAGCAGAAGGGAAGAATGTGGCTGAGTACATAGGAAATTAGAAATAAGAATAAATAGCATCATGGGACTTGGGGAAAGAACAGAGATAACCACACAGTGTGAGATGAATGCATGAAAAAGTGGAAAATTTTAGGCTAGTACAAAGAGGAAATGGGACGTGTTGCTGCAGACATGACAGCAGATGGCAAAATTGAGCTGCAGAGACTGAGCAGAGAAACATCTGGAGAGATTAGAAGAGGCTGTAAAGGTGATGCAGATTTGCTGACATCAAGCAGAATAAATGCAGCCCACCCCAGTGATGGTGGAGGTCCCAGCCAGGAGTTCAGCTCATGGTTGGCTCCAGGGAACTCTTTCAGCACGCTTGGCCTGGGCTCCAGCTTATGTGCCCTCTAGCAACAGAGCTTCCTGCAAGTCTTAGTAAAACTCTGGTTTTCTTGTGCTGCTGAGGCTGTGGTGACCATGCACTTCTTGGTTTCCTCTTCCCACTGCTGTCTAGTCCCAACTGGGAATAGTGTGGTTTTGGTTTCTCTTCCTAACTTAAAACACAAACCCCAAGATTCAGCAGTTCCTGTAATCACACTGTGGAAGCAGTGACCTGAGAAGGGAAATGTCAGCCCCAACTCATCCTATAGCTCATCTCAGCAGGTTCTCCCTCCTACAAGGAACACTGTGATTAGAGTCTCCTCATCCTGTAGTATAGAATCACAGAATAGGATCATAGAATCATTTAGGTTGAAAAAGGCCTCCAGGATCATTGAGTCCAACTTTTGACTGATCACCACCTTGTCAACTAGACAAGAGCACTAATGACATATTCAGTAGTTCCTTCCAGGGATTAGACTCTACCTCTTCCCTTAGCAGCTCATTCCAAGGCCTGACCATCCTTTCAGTGAAGAAATTCTTCCTGATGTCCAACCTGAACCTCCTCTGGTGCAACTTAAGGCCATTTCCTTTCGTGCTGTCCCTTGTTCCCTGGGAGCAGAGCCTGACCCCTGCTTGGCTCCACCCTCCTGTCCGGGAGCTGTAGAGAGACAAGGTCCCCCCTGAGCCTCCTTTTCTCCAGGCTGAGCCCCCCCAGCTCCCTCAACCCCTCCTCACAGGACTTATACCCTAAAGTCAGCTAAAGAGCTCCCAGTGGTTTGAAGCTGAGATAGGAAAGGCCACAAGGACACTGGGGAGACAGATGCAAACCATGTGCAAAGACTGTACAAAAACTGATGGAAGGATTGGGGGAAGGATGTTGGGAAATGATCTTTGGTATAAGTTCACTGACTTTCTTTAGTCTTTCAAGCATTTCTCCAAGGGGAAGGGAAATCCACAACTTCCCAAAATAGCATTTGTGGGTTTTTTTGTTGGTGTTTTGTTTTTTTTTTCCTAAGAAGAAAATAAGATGTATGTTCTCTGGCTATTTCAAAATGCAGGGGCTTTTGGGTTTTTTTTAAGCATCTAGAAAAAAAGGAAGGTTTTGTGGCAGTGTGTTTTGGTGTTTTGGTTTTTTTTTAATATCTAGGAAAAGAGGTATGTGATAGGTAATCCAAAACAAGGAATAAATCCTATCTATAGTTGTGTTTTCTAAACCAAAAAATGTTAAGGCCTGGCTCTCCTCTCTTGTGTACTGGTGTATGTTCTGTAGTTCTACTGATATTAGGGAACCTTGAATCCTTGAAGGTAACCCCTTTTCATGCTTAAATGTACATCTGATGAAGATTCATGACTTCAAAGGTGCTCTCAAGCACCAGAGCTGGTGTCATGCTTAACCAAGCTATCCAGTAGTTAATAAACATCACACTATCATTTGCATATTTAATGCAGGGTACAGAATTTTATGGAAAAATCTATAGCTTTTAATCCAGTGATGAATCATTTATGGGATTTTGGATTATTCACTTTACACTGAATTAAGTTGTCTCTTTTCACCAAGTGAGCCTCCCCAGCACAGTCTGTGTCAGGGCTGGGCTGCACAGTGATGGATGTTGCTGGGATGAATTATTTATTGGGTGTTTTAGATCATTTGCCCAGCAGTGAACTAAGCCCGTTAATTTTAAATCTGTTCATATCCATTCCTGAGTGCGCAAAAAGGTTTCCATGTACATGAAATTCATCTCTCTTTCTTCCTCCCACTCTCTCCAGTGCACTAGTGAATCACTCATGGAGTTTGGGTTGGGTTGGTTTTGGATGCAAAGTTTTCCTCAGTGGATGCAGTGACTCTGCCCTGGTGGGAGGGACTGTTTGTCCAAGCCAGTTTGGGACCTCGTGTGAAGGAGGTGTTTGTGTGAGTCCTTCAGTTCTCACTTTTGTCCTACTTTAAATACTGTGGAATGGAAACAACTGTGATTTCTTAGCTTGTCAGGCACGTGGTATAATCCTCCTTAGTCCAAGGGGGTTGTATCAATGGACCCAGTATGGTGAGCAAGAAAACTGCCATGGGCTGTAATGATCAAGCACTGATTTTTTTAAATTTTATTTTATTTCAACCCAATGCTGGGAGAGAGCCCTTTCCCAGGGCTTTCCTGTGAGCTCTGCTTCAAGGACAAAGGGAATTTAGTCTCTCAATGGAGCAGGGAGTCTATG